GCTGAGGATCGAACCCAGTGCCTCACATGTGCTAGGCAAGTGCTTTACCACTGAGCCCCAGCGCCAAAACCTGATTCTTAAGGAATCAGGCCCATAGAGGGTGAATGCTCAGGGAAGGCAGACCCACATGCTCCAGATGATGGACATCTCGGGTCTTGTTATGGTTTGAAGGCTTATAGCCTGCATCACAGTTGTAGGTACAGTCCTTATAGCTGAGAGGCAGACCCTCCACTGTGGGGATATTCATTAGGGAAACACCTAGGGGCACCTTAGCAATGCCCATTTGTAACATGGCACAAACTCTGAAAAGCCCTCTCAATCAATGCATGCTGGCACAGTAATTCCACTTCTGATGATCTGACCTGTTTTCCTTACAAGAGTCATGGCCTGAGACTTTCTTAAAACACTACCTATAGGAATATATATTTCATATTTTCTTTTTCTAACAACATTGGGAATTTTTTTTTGTTTTTTTTGGGGTTCAAGTTCCCCGTTATCCTTCAGTAACAATGACAGGACACACATGTCACTTCATTAGAACTCAGAATATTAAATTTATCCAATATGATGTTTAATTTTACTTTCAAAGTTCAAAATAAACAGACAGCCATTGAATCTAGGTTCTCTCATAAATAGGTTACATAATTGCTCTAAAATATGCATCAAGAGATCAACGGGTGCTCTCCCAGAATATCTTGAGCTAAAGCCCCAAGCGTATGTCACCCTAGAGAGAGAACCTGCTGAGTGCTCTCAGGAAGAAAGACCACGAGGAATTCCAGAAGGCTTCGTGGTAACCAACAGAATCCACGTCCCTGCAAAAAATATCCAGCCCCGTCATTATACTTGGTGATACCTACTGAGTCAAAAGATCTGCTATTAAAGAAATGCCATTTGCTTCTGTTGACCCTAATCATCACAGACTGTCCTCTTTTCTGGGTGAGTGATTATAGCCCCAGCCACTGGCAAGACAAGATGACATCTGCTGAAACCAGTGGCAGAATGTTTTAGACTCTGTCATTCACATAGTGCCTTCATGTTAATGATTCTAATCATATTTACACCATCAACTCAGCAAATGACAGCCCCATCTCTAATCACATTGTCACCACCTCACCAATGCTCAGGGTACAGCAATGAAGGCTGGCATAACAACTAACATAAAGCTGGTTGGCTGGTTTTATAGGCCAAAGGGGATGAAAAAGGATGTTATACTTTGAATTTTTTCAAAGCTAAGTGTCATATTATTCAATACTTTTCAGCGGTAGGTTTTACTTTATCTGACAGGTATGACTATTGTTTCCCTAAAATTGGATTTTCTGCTTCATGGGGACAAGGTTAAAAGACTTATCAAGGAGGTGGTAGCTGTTTGTGTAGGGTAAGAGAAAGGCCCATGGGGCTCTAAAAAGCATACATGCCCCAACAAGCAAGCTGAGCTAAGTCCACTCATCACTGACAACTTCACTCTCCCGGTGAAAGTGCTTCCCTTAATAGCTTATGTAACACAGAGCTTCTAAAAATGTACACTGTGGAGTCCATCTCACCTAAGTGAATTTATTGCCCCACTAAAATAAGAACAGCAACTAAAAGGCTGGGGCCACAGTGGAGGCAACTGCACACTTGCTCATTGGCTTAAAAACAGATCCAGATTTTACCTTAGTCATACCACTTATCACCATAAAAATGATAACTAGACAAACAATGCATGTTAATTAACTAGATTTAGTCGTGTATACATTCACAATGTATACATACAGTCAGTCATTGCTTGGAATCTGTGGGAGATTGGTTTCAGGACCCCTTGAGGATACCAAAATCCACTGATGTTCAAGTTCCTTATATAAAATGTTATAGAATTTGCATATAACCCAAGCACATCCTCCTGTATACCTTAAATCATCTTAATCTTTTTTTAAACAATTAACACAATATAGGCGCCATGTAGTATAGTTGTTGTACTGTATTTTTAGGGAAGGACAATTTTAAAAGTGTATACATGTTCAGTACAGATGGAAAGTTTTTGAAGATTTTCAATCTATGCTTGCTTGAATCCCACTGTGCTTAAAACACTATGTTGTACATGGTAAATATGCAATTTTATCTTTCATATTTAAAAAAGTGAACCATATTGGCTCAATCAGAACCAATAAGGCAGCAAATGTCTATCTAGCAGGATAGCGAGCTTGCTAAGACTCCTTTTTTAATTTATACTAGAGATTGAATCCAGGGGTACATGACCATAGAATGCCATCCCCAGCCCTTTTTAATATTTTATTTGGAGACAGAGTCTTGCTGAGTTGTTTAGGGCCTCACTAAATTGTTGAGGCAGGCTTAGAACTTGCAATCCTCCCAGCCTCCTGAGCCGCTGGGATTACAGGCGTGTGCCGCCACACCTGGCTTGCTAAGATTCCTTGGCCAATGTGCTCTCCTTCAAAGTTATATGAAGGTTTTGGTATCCCAGTGCTTTAGGACATAGCTGGCTTTTAGTAGCCTCACAAACATGGGCAAGAAGGAGAGGCAGCCTAGATGGTCCCTGGCCTCCACTCATTCTGGCTACCATGAGTATCCTTTCAGAAAGCTCTGGCAGGCACCTGTGTCTTTCAATACCAGATTTGCAGCCAAATTAAGCCCAATCGAGCAGCAGTCATGAGTATGCTTTACTTCCAATCAACCGCCATGATAGCCAGCCCAGGAAAGGACTTGTTAAATGTTGAACAAAATGAAAACAGAATTGTAAAGCAGCAGATCCAGAAAATATATGCGAAGTAACATGAAGATTATGTCACCCTGTTCTTGCTTATCTCTATAAGTGTGTTTTATACCTCACTGGCTGTCTTTTTTAATGACTGTTGAGTACAAGTTTTAGATGTAGCTAGATTCCCAGGGAAGGTAAGCAAGATACCAAGTTAACAGGGCTGATTTGATCAGCTGATGCAAAAAGAACCAGAGTCCCAGAATCGGCCTTATAACATTACTTCACAATTCTGGTTGGAGTCTTTTGCCACTCTTGTGGCAATAGTAAGTATGTGACTGGAATGCTTAATCTGCAGGGTGCATTAACAGACACTGTGCTGAGGAATTCATATACATCATCTCACTCAGTCTTCTCAACTATTCAGTAAGGTAAGTACGAATATTCCCATTATTTTATGGATGAAAATAGTGAGGCTTAGAGCTGTTCAAAAACTTGGCCATAGCTATAGAACAAATAAGTGGCAGGGGACGGATTTGAACTCAGGTCTATCTGATGGCATAGCCTAGAGTCACAACCACTATACTCTATAAATATTTTCTAAATCTCATTTTGGGGTCCTGTTATCCTAAAACATTTCATATCCAGTCATTATAAGTGTTTAGGATCTGTTTTTCTCAGTAATCAATTTTTCTGTCAAGTGACAATCCAACATTGCTAGTCATTAGGAAAAATGTTTCAAGCGATTTTGCCTGGTGGACAATATCCTTACTGAATGATGAGTTCTTTGATGTATGAATTCTCTCCTAAAATATGGGGGAAAGTGGAAGGTGGGATTGTCATCACTTAGATATCTGCTTCTATACCTACATTTCCCAAAATGTAATATGCAAACAGATCACCTAAGAATTTTGTGAAAAATGTTGATTCTAATGCATCAGACCTAAGATAGGGCCTGAGCAGCTCTAACAAGCTCCCAGGTGATGCTGATGTTGCTGGTCCATGAATTTGACTTCAAGTGTCAAGGACTTAGAAAATATTAGGAAGCTGAATCCATATTATGCAGAATCCAAACTCAGATTCCAAGAGAGAATAGCAAGTGTAGAATAGAACACTCTTCACCCAAACAATACAAGAAAGCAAGCTATTGAAAAGCCTTTAGGCTTTGGACTTCAAACCCATTTAATAATCTACAGGGTACAATCTTGGCAGATGCCAGCACTATCTCACTTCTTAAACAATTATGTCCATTCATCTAAGTAGCACTTTCACCATGAAATGATGGTTTAGTATCCTTGGCAACCAATTTACCAATATTGTAGCTAACCTTACTGTACCTCACCTCAGTTCTACTAGAATGGTGATATGTCAAAGTCAGGTTCAGCCTGGTTCAGTAACAGGGCCCCCATGGGCATGAAGAGGATTCTAGCCAGGAGAGGTGGGCAGAGGTCACATAAAAGCCTGAGCAAAGAACCCTGAGGTATAGAACAGGATCGATAAGACCAAATTGCCATTCCTCCATATACTGTAGGGTGCTTCTAGCTTTTCAACATTTCTTGTTACATCATTGGAAGAGAAAAACAACATGTGGAATAAGGCAACAAAAATGGACTGGCTTGTTTGGACAGCAGCATCATCAAATGGGTTCCCACAAAGAAAAACATAAATGAGAGATGTGTATGCACACATATGGATATGTGTACACAAACATGCATATATAGTATAGGAAGATTTGTAGGTCTTGCTCTGCATCCTTAGCTTCATAATGTGTCAGCCATTTGCATAATATTGGTTACTTCACTACCCTCAAGGACCATACTATGCAGGATGCAGGCCAGTACACTTACCAAACCGAGCACTCATAGTCCTCACAGTTTATTTGGGCACTCAAATGTGCCAGGTACTGTGCTAAGTGCCTTACACACATTATCCTATTTATACATGAAACTATGGAATTGGGATCACTATCGTCAAGGTAGTAGCTGAGTTCTAAAATAGACTTGTTATAGGTATAGGCAGCCAAGGGCTTAGAACCCAAGCCCATCAAACATTCAAATGCCAGTGCTCTTTAACATTATACCAAACGGTCTCAATCGTATATCCCAAGTCCCATGACAAGAAGCCACAATTCTGACAGTGTATGGTGCACTGAGATCAAAGCCATGGAGACTTACATTCCCCTCCTTGTCAAAGTCCGGTGGAAGTAACTTCACGAAGTTATCAGGGAACACGCCTCGTCTGCCATTGAGCTCTCCTTCCCACCAGCCAACATCGATGCAGTCCTAGAAACGAGGCAGGGAAGAGTGAGAAATGGGGGCAAGCATGCTCCAGAGAGGTCTTCCATCCTTTCATGGGAGAACAGAAGCCCTCTTCTTGACGCTGATATCAATGTAACAATGGTTATTAAGTCAGCACAACCCCAAAGTCAGAGTAGAGCTTCCAGCAGGGACTCAAAGCCCAATGTTGCTTTTAGATACCCTGAATCATGAAGTATTTTTTAAATTTTTTTCTTATAGATGGGAGGAGATGTATGGGCTTCTTTTTAAGTTTACTGAAATAAAAGTATTTTATTAACTGCAAAGGAAGCTTAGAAAATATCTTGTGCAAAAATGTCCTCTTTTGGATAACTTGTTACTAAGCTTGTCAGAATTAAAAAGGGCTTTGCAACAGTAAGCCAAGCATAAGAAAAAAATCACTTCATACAAACTCATTAACATGCTGCTCTCCTTCACCTTCTCCTTTTGATGTTGGTGGAGCACAGTTGTCACCATGAAAAGCCCTTTATTCCCCTTACAGAACTCAACATTTGCTTACTAAATGAATAAATAAACCTAGTTATTCTTCCCGATCAAACCTGCTTTCCTTTCAATAATTTCTATTCTCTTCTTTCATTTATTGAATGTTTCTTGAGCACCTACTACATCAGGCACTACTGAGCCAGGTGCTAGATAGAGGACCAGGAACAAGACTGGAAAAACCCTAAGCTTCTTCAAGCTTCCATCCTAAACCTAATGGCCCCATGGTTCTCCTAAGCACTTAACCTCAGCACACAAAGCTACTTATAGTTTTTTTTCCTTTTCAATTGGATGGAAACCAATTCATTTTAATATATTTTGCATTCATCCACTGGGTGCTCGGGGTTCAATTCTACTTCTAACACCCAATCCAGGACTCACCTGGCCAACTATAAACTTCCTCCCTTGGGCATTTCTTCCTCCACAGTATGTGTATAATACACACCCAACTGTCAAGTCCAGAGTTCTTGAGTTAAAACCCAAGCCTCACTCAGACTTGTGATCAACAACTTCTAGCTGAAGCCCAAAACAAATGAAGGCTTTCCAAAAACAAACAAACAAACAAACAAACAAACAAAAAACTGGCAGCACAGTCATTTTAAAGTTACATGTGAAACAAGAAGATAATTAATCAAGAAAGAGAGGACATCATGCTCAGGGCCCATGGACTGATGTGTTGAGGAAGAGACCAGGAGGGCTCAAGCATCAGTTGTAGGCTCCAAGTGTACCAGGGCTTATATATGGTACATTTGCACTTCGCTAGATCAGAATTCCAGCAAGGTGAGTTATACATCTGATTTGTTTCACCAATACACCCTCAGTCCTTCACACAATATACCATATAATAAATAAGAATCAATGAAGATTCTTTCTGAGATCTATAATCTCCAGCAGTCCAATATTTGAATATTTGGACAAGATGTCTTCTAGAAGTAAATCATGATCCATCTTCCCCTCTCCCAGAGGTATGTTACAAAGATAAATTAACGCCTTAGAAAAGCATGCAGATGTTAGAGATTAATCCTTTGTGACACACTGTAAATTGTAGTCCTAACCAATACTCAAAACAAATTACAGTTGGAGCAACAATTTCAAATTTACCCAGAACAAGTGTTCAAAAAACTTCTAAATGAGAGAATGCTTATTTTTCTAGAAAAAATGACAATAAATCTAGAAAACAATATGGTCCTGTCGTTGTTACATTACCCCCTAAACAATCTAGCATGGGTGCCCAAAGAAGGGATCTACAAACAGAAGTGGTAATGGCAGGATTTGGTGGGGTTTTTATGATACTGAGGATTGAACCCAGGGGTGCTTCCCATTGAGCCATACCCAAGTCATTTTTATTTTGAGACAAGGTCTTGCAAAGTTGCTTAGGGTCTTACTAAATTGCCAAGGCTGGCCTCAAACTTGCAATCCTCCTGCCTTAGCCTCCTGAGTCGCTGGAATTATGGCATGTGCCCCATACCTGGCATAATTTGTTGGCTTCTAAGGTTCTGACAAATGCTATCAATGATTCTAGAAAAACTTATAAAGGAGGCAGGGAGGAGTGGAATTTCTTTACCCTTAATCCTTAGAAATTAAGTCTTTCAATTTAGAAAATTCTGGCACATTTTTCCCCCTCCTCTTTCTGCATGTGTCTTTGTTATCTTCAAAACCCAACTTGAAACTCACTTTTAGGAAAGTGACTATCATGAATGCCTTCTTTTCTCTAACATTCAGCACTATGCTAATTTGCACTTCATGATTTTTAATTCTACAAATATCTAATAAGTGCAAAATATGTTCAAGTTCTGTACGTACTGAACATTAAACATGCAGAAAACATGGTCCTACCCCCTAGGAGCTTAGAGATGTATGAGAGACAGACACACAATATTCTGCAGGATTCTTTTGGGGAACAGGTATTAACCAAATGTTCTGGTATCAAAAGAAAAGCTGTCAGTAACAGCTTTTTGAATAATCTTAAATCTTCTCGTGTGAGAAGGGTTTGCTTATGTAAGGACTGGACTTTCCTCCACAATCATTTTGGATCACCTGATACAATGTCCACAAAAGGCATGCAAATATTGTTTAGTGCTACCTTTCTAAATGATGCAAAGCTATGCTTCACCTCAGCCTTATGCAAACAATAGCCCAAGAACCATTTTGCTTCATGTGTGAGAAAAACAATAAAGAAAATTTTAATAAGCGGGAACCTTAGCAGAGTAACTTGTGAACTTATGCATATCTACAGGGGAAAAGTGTCCATAAGCACATTATATTCATCATATCTCCCATTAGCGATGACTGGCTTGGATGGCTCTTCTATACTCTGCTCCTTGAGGAAAACACTAACAGTGCTAATCACTGCTGTAATTCAAAGCAACAGAGGGAAAGCACAAAGAGAGAATACAATATGTCTAATTGTTCTGATTAGTATAAGAATAAACACAAGGCCCATGGATGAGATAAGCACAGTCAAAAAAGAAAACTGTCAGTGTGGTTGAGAATACTAAGAGCAGCCAAAGAGAAAAGCCGGTACAGGACAAAAACCAGGCACTGGGTTGGGATGCCTGGAGTGGGATAGATTTACAGAAAAACCAATGCAATAGAAGATTTACAGAAAACCTCAGCAATAGAAGCTAATTTAAGAGAAACAGGAATGATTTTGACAGCATAATAAGAAGCAAATGTAACTCCTCTTAAACCAAACAAAGGAACAAGGCTTTTGATGGCAGAGATGAAGAGAGAATTATTCATCTAAGGGCTGTTCTTCCAGAAGTGTAAACTACCAGCAAATTCAATTTATTTCTCAAGGGCCTAAAATATACAGAATAAGACAGGAATCCAGGGTGGAAAGAAAATCATCATGTCCTTGCGGGGGCTCCCAAGATCGGAGCCTCATAGGCAGATACAATGAATCAAAATGGCATGGAAACACCACAGGAGTGTCAAGTTAGATTTAAAAAACAAGTGAACCAAGAGAAGCCAGGCAGCCGGGAAGAGAAGGACACCAAGAACAGAGGCAATGAGAAAGTCAAGGGCAGGATCACTGAATGAGAGGGAAGGAAAGTGGGAGGGTGGGAACCCATGTCACAGAAGAACATTCAAGAACTGGGGTTTAGAGCAAAGGCAGCCCCCAAATGTCTACTGAATAGTGACATGAGGTGTGAGGCAAGATGGCACCCATGAATAAAACAAAGGGAAGAATGGAGGAATGAGTGGCCAATGATTTGTGAGGCCAGAATGTCACCAGGGTGAAAGTGGATACCGCCAAAGCAGTTGTTGAGTGAAAGGGGTCTATGAGGCAGTAGGTGACCCCTGAGGAGAGAGGTAGTGTGGCCAACATACAATTATTTCTTTCCAATCCTGGGATGCTATTAGAATGAAGCAGGAGGTAGAAATGAATTAAAGAGCAGCAAGCAGATGAAAGCTTCTGGCAAAAAAATAATGTCTAGAAATAAGCTCTATTGAAAGCAAAAGAAAACAGACCTGGAGTCTTATCGAGAGTTAAGAGCATGGAAAGAAATTATATTTCTGACAGAGTATTCACTCTTCCATGATCAAGTCCTCACAATAGCCAAAACGGTTTGTGTATGTCTCATCACCAGGCAGATATTAGAATAAAAGAAAATATTCTTCCTTATAAAATACAAATGCTGTTTTTCCTTTAAAGGAATACATTAACAGAGCCTTAGGTGTGCTATCATCTAATCTCTATGTTCAGCACTATCTTAGGTTATCTCCTCTCTTCTAGCTTAAGGGAGGACTCACTATGGCACAAGGTAGTCATTGCTTATTTTGCCTGAACTCAGAGAAGGAAGAATACAAATGTTGGCCATGGGGTACTTAAACCATTGCCAGAGATGAAAATTCTCTGGATCTCACTTTTTTTCATACCCATGAAAATCACTGCAAGGTGTAGAGAAGGACACAACTGCTGGTTGTTGCTATTGTCATTACTGGGATTACATGGATTGGCCCCAGAGTCCCTGAGGGATGATGTGGTCAGGAAAGCTTTTTTATTAAGCTTCTATGCATTTGTCATGTGGTCCAGTGCCATCTTTGGGTACTGGTGGGCCATTTCTACTCCTTGCTGCCTTAGGGAAGCCAATTCTAGCCCCTGGCAGCAACTCAAACACTTTGAGGGGGGCCAAGGGGAGGAATGCCAAGGCCTGGGTGTGTCTGAAGGAGGAGGCCATGCCCAGACTTCAACATTGTGCCTCAGTCTGTACAATCCTGCCAGCACTGCCCCAGGTAACCTGGCTGAAGCACTTCAGTGCTCCATACAGCTATTGCAATAGGGACTAGCTGAGAGAACGCCTTTACAGATAACCTGTTGTCATGGTGAGGGCCAAATGTGCTGGGAGTCACCAGTGAAGCCTGGTATGTTTACCTCTAAGCTAGACACTTCAAATTTTGAGAAGAGACAAACTTATCACCTGGATAGTAAATTGGCTAAAAGAATGAGCCACAACCCTCATCATGGGCTGTTTTGTCAAGAG